GCAACAAAAACTGCGGGGAACTATGCAAAAAACGCATCTTCGCGCGGGCAGCCCGTGCGTTGGCCAGTTATTTTTGTTTTGCTTTCGTTATGCTCCGTTGTTTTTGAATTCACTGAATTTTAGTATGTTCGGGATGCATTTCTCATCTTACTCATCAACGTTTCTGCTTTACATGTTCTTTTTTTGTAAATGCTAAGTGGTGCTCAGATTGTTGTAGTTTGTATACATTTATGGAAGATTAAGCTCTTGAACTACATTTCTTAACACTGCATAGGACAGTAAAGTTGAGTTCATTTTCCTCGACTTCCTTTATCGTAATCATCGACTGCTGGTCAAACTAGTTTGGAACCAAACTAATTTTGATTCGTCATATATATAGGGCTTGTTTGGCCTAACCAAACTAATTAGGCCAAACAAGCCCTATATATATGACGAATGATTTGAAACTGACTGCGAACTTAGCTGCTTCCTAATCTACTTTTCTAAGTTTATAATCTGACTAATATTATAAACTATGAATAAAACCATGCCGTAGGTTTGACATTTTGGATTTGGTTCATCAGACGAATTGGGGAGCATATGGAGCTGACGCTATAGCTCAAACATGAGGATCCGCTTCTCATTTTTGAGCTATAGCGTCAGCTCCATATTCACTTTTCACAAATACTAGAAGTTCACGGCGCAGTGCGTCCTTTGTAATGTTTACTCAGCATTCATTCACAACGTCTCCGCAACAGTTTTATTGCAAAACACATGATCGACGTCAAGCTTACGCTATTTACTTTGAGCTTTTAGGGGACTTTTATCGTCCACGTGAGCCGATAAAATCGTTCCTTGAAATAAGAGAGGCGAGGAGGGGGTACACTTTGTTTTCAAGCGACGTAACTTGCTGACCGTCAGAAAAAGACTTGCACCAAAAAAGAAACATCCAAAATTCAGCGATTTGGTTACGTCATTCGAGCATAGTATTCATTCGACTGTACGTAGTTTTCGAATTTTTTGGGATTTGTTTGCGGATTTTGCTTTGAGTCTCCGCATGATTGAACTAAGTATAGCGAATTTCCAAAAAACCAAAATATCATCATTGTACTTTTTTTCATCAGTGTTTTTTTTTGCCTATTTTGTACATCTTTTGAATGCGATACCATTGTTTCTTATCCTGTGATAATACACAGTGATCATTTGAGAATGCGCATAGACTGTGGAGAATTAGTTAGATTTGTACCAAATAGTATAAATAAATACATCAAAGCAAAATTTGTTGGTTTCAGCAGAACAGGAAATTAATTAAATATGCAAAGATAGAGCACTTGTCCGTAGAGGCGAGTTTGTCCGTTCTTTATGTAGCTGTAGCGAAGTAGCCTTGGTCACCTACAGGTTATATGGAGTAACCAACGCGCTCCGTGTGCTTTGCTAAACTATGATGGTATTAATAAATGGATCGCCGCAAAATTTAGGAAATGTATGGGTAAAGATCTATAGTTTTTGTAGAAGAGATGGTTCGTACGAAGGCGCAAAGGTCTTGCATGTTGGTGGTAAATCCGCTGCGAGTCCAGTTGATAGACGCTTCAACAGTGCAGAACTGCGCCACTGACTTGCTTCCAATCGATTCTGTGTATGAAAAATAACGAAATTTTAAACCCTGCGGTTCCGAGATTAGGTTGCATTTGCGACCGTGAGCGAAAAGACCATAAGGTTTAAAAGTTGGTTCCGCGTTACCAATGCGTTGATGAAATTGAAATCCATGTCTCGAGTTCTTGCCGTTTCCAGGATTGTAAGATTCTAGATGTGAAAGAGAGCAAAGATGCAGTGATGTTTCAGCTCAAATTATGAAAATAGCCTGGATATGTATTCTATACCTTAGATCAGGTGAGATTTGATACAAATCTTCAGACTTCTCATGTGATCGAATTATGTGGTGAATTGCTCGCTCCGTCCTCTCTTTCCCCCAGAATAAAAATTCCCATTTGTAGCTTATTTTCAAATTATAAGAATGTAGGATGATTTGATAATAAAACAAAATAGCGCGAAGAAGAAAGTTGATCTGAGTGTGGGCATGAAACGATAGATCAATGAACACGAGTTGACTCTAGGCTGTGATTTTACGTGTGGCTAAAAGCTACCAATGCAAGGGCACGCACCGAAAACATTAGCTTCGAAAGAAATATGCATTCCGCGCTCCCAGTTCAGTTTGTGCTAGGGACAGGTTTCGTAATCAGAGAGTCTGCTTCTTCTCGAGAGCATACCTCGAAAGGGCGGTGCCTGGAAAGGCTGGCTTATTTTCTGGAAGGCGTGGCGTGCGTCGGGCCTGGCGAGCAAGCGCTTGTTCAGGTTTCCAAAAGGATCACTTCATACTCCCGTCCTGCTCACTTACAGGATTTTTGTTCTGCGGTGGATAGTACTGCCCTAGCATTTGCAACTGCGCTTTTAGTGCTTCCACCCTGCTGAAACGGCTGTGCGTGAAAAGATACTGCAAGCACAGTTTGAGAGTTCTCGCTGACCACTGGACTGATCAGTCAACTCTGCAAAAGCAAAAGACGAAACAGTCGTAAATGATTTGAACCAAAATACGATCAGTCATTCACTCTGAAGAATTCAGCCTTGCCTTATTCCCAGTAATGGATAACTGAAGCTCACGGGTGATGATCACAGGTCAACTTAGAGGTCACGCTCACGCCAGCGGCTAACGTGTGATGAGCAACACTGTAAGCGGTTGGCAAACGTCCTCCTGTATTTCGGTATTACTGTCACTAATTGGCTACCAGCTCTTTAACATATTCTCGACAACTTCGGCATCAACGCTGTCGGCTGTAGATGATGCTTCTTCTACTCACTGCTTTAGCTGTGCCTCAACCGCATATCTGAGCCTCTGGAATCAACTAATGCACCATTACTTCCCGCCCAAAAATTTTACGGATCGATGCTGGGAGCCGGATTCGGAGATCGGAACAGTGCAGTGCCGAAGTTCATGCTTCATTCTGCTCGAGGAAATCTACGAACATTGTGAGTAATTCCTCATTCATTACATCGAGTGCATTTTCAGCGTGCTGTAAATAGCCAGTGCAAAATTCTCATGCTAGCAAAATGATACTTTGTTTCATTTCTACACTTTCTTTTTCCGGTTAGCCAAGTTTTCCACGATTCTTTTTTCCCTCTTTTAATTTAGCATTTGGTATTCATAACTCCTTTTACTGAATTTAACACTTTTCCACTTTACAGTTTTGGCAGTGCATTTTCCCGACTACCTTTTACTTCCCTTCTCTCGTGTAAGGTAACATTTTCATCAAAAAAGTCTTTGAGATAGTGTGTAAGATTGGTCGAATGATTATCTCACAGTCAAGTACTGAACATGAACAATCTTCTGCGCGACACGTTAAATTTTGGAATAAGTCGTTTATGCGAAGAAAAATAGCATTTTAGGCCTTCTACTTTACAACTTCATACTTTAGTGCTCCCTGAGGCAAGCTTTGCGTTTCTAGTTAATTATTAATAAGTCGAATAATGCAATTAATGCAAAATGAATGATTGCGTGGGAAAAAGCGAAATTTAAAGTGGCTGAGACGGGGAGAAAACTTTGATACCTGAAGGCAGAGGGTTGCAAAGCTGTGCAAATGCGGGGGGAGAAAAAACGAGTACCACATAAAGCAATGCATCTACTGATACACAGTGCGTTCTTTACTTTCTTGTGGCAAATTTTATTAGCAACAGAGACTGGAAGCAACGAGGGCAAGGCAGTATCAATTCTTCTCCTTGACTGATGAATGCAAGCGCCTTTCTTCAGACTACTGCGCAATACAGACTATTGGTTCCATCCCGAATAAATGGCTGAAAGTTCAATAAAATTTAGACTATTTCGTGGATGAACTTAGACATTCTTCCTTCTTCTCTCCTCCTCTCCCCCTCCCCCCCACCCGTGCCCTTCCCACCCCGCTCTCTCTACCACTCCCTTCCCCCTCCCCCCTCCTTTCCCGCCCGTCCCCTGTTCTAAAACGAAAAAAAACATCTCAAAAGTAACTTTTATGCATTGTAGCCCCCTGTACTTAACAAACTGGAAGCAACGAGGGCAAGGCAGTATCAGTTCTTCTCTTTGACTGATGAATGCAAGCGCCTTTCTTCAGACTACTGCGCAATACAGACTATTGGTAAGGTAACATTTTGGAAAGATCATCCGGAACAGGCGGTAAAGGAAGCGGGAAAAGAAAATGGAGTGAAAATGGGGCGAGGGGAGGAGAGGGAGGAGGCAAGAATGTGATAATATGAGAGGATTTGATAATTTTAAAACAAAACGGTGTGGGGAAAGATTAAGAATGATAATTCTAAACAGGAATGTTTCCGTCCACTAAGTCATATACACTTCTGTTTAGTGCCACAACTGGACTCCGCTAGTAAGAAAGTTGTGGTAAAAGTATATTTGAAAAGGGAAGCTGAATAAAATAAAAGTAGAAGCGAAAAACTAAGAGTACAAGTGAAAAGAAAAAGTATGAGTAAAAGTGATAAAAATAAAAGTGATGATATGATAGAAGAAAACAAAGGTGATATGTGCAAGTAAGTGCGACAAGTTTGGTACATTGCTGGTGTCGGTAGACTAACTGAAGTTACGCTCGATTTACAGTGAGAACGGTAAATGATGCAACAACGGTAATCAAAGCGAACAGTTCTTCACACTGAGATATTCTTCAACATGAGCTACCTATCTTCTGACTGGGACGACTTGCACTTGAAGTTCGAATGGCAGCTCTTTTTTTTAATAACATCATCAAAAAAAAAAGAGAAACTGAAGGATGAATGTCTTTAAAGTCAATTTTTGCCACCTGGAGCAAAACTGCATTGATAGTGAGTCAAACGACATTGTGCTAATTGGAAAAACAGTGGGGCGGAACACCCCACTGGATAGCGGTCAAAGAGCAAAAGTTCTGAATGGCTTTCGAGTCTTAAACACACAACCACTCATTTATTTACCTTCTATAAGTTTCTGCATGAATGACTTAAAAAGCCTATTATATTTGGATCATGTGTGCTTGTTTGTGTGTGTTTGTGTGCATGTGCTCCTACGTGTATATGTTTCTGTTCATTTTGTGTAAGTTGACGTGTATGTGAGCATTTGTGTGAGTGCGTGCAAAATGCGACTTCAAAAGTGCAAAAGCAGAATTTGATAATTTAGTTCTTCCATACGCACAGCTAAAAGCCTGTGGGAAACTTTTTTTTTTTGTATAATCGAATGAAACCCAAATTTGAGTCAATTTTAAACCACGAGTTAATATAGCAAAGTTCAGATTTCTGAGATTAATTCCAATCTTCAGACCCCTCGTCTTGCAATAATTTTGTCAAGTATGAAGGTGCTATATCATGATCTGCGGCCGTAGGCGCAAATTAAAGTGAATTTTAGTAAGCCAGGAATTCTAAATTCTGGGCTGATTTGCTAAATCGGGATGACTGGCCCGGACCAGCCTTTAAGCTCCGAGGTTACCGTCATACAGGATTGAATGTCCAAATACAGGACAACGTCATACATTCAAAAAGAAGTTAGTTATGAATCCAAAATTTTGCATCATCGAAAAGTTTATAATGAACATCCAGGAGTACAACAGCTTACTGCATGTGGACATGACTGCACTGGTCCCTTGACATGTGGCGTTATTTATTTAATAAAACAGTAAATAAATGGAGAGAAATAGCGGAAGCAGAGATAATCCAGTGTTGACCGAATCGACAAGATAATTGCACTTTTTGGGAAGCATGCTAACATGACTGATTGACATTAGTACTGCTGACATGCATTCAATATTACCTCGATCCCCACATTGGCTCCAGCTAAAACTACTCTAAAAAGGAAATTGTGGGCGACCGTGGAAAGAAAGAGGGTGTGGAAGAGGCGAAGACACGGTGAGGGACGAGAACAAGACAGAGCGGCTAAGGAAGATGCATTCGTCAGAATAAATTACACTATTAAAACAAGCGCTTCATGTGTTCTTTTCTCCCTTTTAAGTGATCCAATACGTCTGGAATGTGCATGAGCATTTACAGAGAGTACTTCGTAGCAAGCATTGAGTAAATGCAATGCAACAGTAGGAACCCAGGCTGGAACGCACCAGACGAGCCTGTGCGATCATGCGTTTTTCCAGTAAACTTTGAGGTACCCCATCAAATTTCCCTTCCCTTGCCTCACCCCTTCATTCGCTGTTTTCACCCCTCCCCACCCCCTGCCCCCGCCCTGGGCATCTATCTTCTCGAAGCGGTGATATCGTGCTGCATTATACAGTACAGTTACAAAACGGTATTCTGTGAGTACGGTACGATGAGATATATGTGGTGCACAGCCCCCGCTGAGCAGTCTAACACTGCTCATTCGTGGGCCTCTTTGGTTAGGGGTGGGTAGTCGTGTGCAGTGTTGGTCTGTGGATCGGTGTTGAGGAGGGTGTTGGGGGGGGGGGGGGGGGGGGGGGGGGGGGGG